GAACGCTAGACCCTCCCCAGGACACAGGGGCTGCAGCAGAGCCAGGCACCGGGAGAAGCTAGGTAGCAGGTTGTTGGACACTTGGTTTCCTCTAGAACAGCTGACTCTCTGACCCTAGGTACTTTCCCAGGCCTGCCGTCCACACGTGCGAGAATGGGTAATAGATGAGCTGTCATCCTAGAGCTGAAATTGGCCTTCTTTTTCATGTGGATAGCCACAAAGCCTTACCTTTCACCTAAAGTGAACTGGAATGCATCCTTTACAAGAAGTCATGGACTGAAGCTCTGTTCTGCTCTTGGGTAGGCTAGGTTCAGGATTAGCCTTTTTTAGACCTTCTTCCAGAGCAGTGGTTCTCAACCTTCCTAATGTCGCAACCCTTTATGATTTGGGGTCACAACATGAGGTGGTGTAACAGTTCCTCGTGTTGTGACTCAGTTATAAAATTATTTTCATTGCTACTTCATAACTGGAAATCTGCTGCTGTTATGAATCTCGCTGTAAATATCCATGTTTTCTGATGGTCTTAGGTGACCTCTGTGGTTGAGAATCAATGTTCCGGGTCCTTCTAGCCACCCCCCCCCAGCTCCATACCTCATAGGGATGGGAGGAGCCCTGGTCAGGATTTGAGAAATGGAGAGTGGTTTATGCTTGAGAAATCCCCTGGGGGAAACCCAGGCTGGCCCTAAAACTTCAAGACCCCAGCTAGAGCCCTCAGACTGTCAGACAACTATGGGAGGTGGAACAGGGGAACAGTTTTTCACCCTAACAGTGAAGTAAGCTTCCTCTCCAGCTCAGCTCCCTGTGAACTGTGTCTGCCAGGATCTGCAGAGTATGTGATGGATTCTGATATTGGTGCCTGGTGATCTCAGCATTGATCAGGTCCTGGGGGATGAAGAGGGGACAGGGGCTCAAATGCCCATTGCATCACCAGCTCTTCAAGGAGGAGGCTGTGTGCTTCAGATCTCTTTCCTAGAATTGCCCTCTGCACACACTGTCTGGCCCCAGGGCTACTCTTGCAGATGGCGGGCTGGGCGTTGGGATTGCTTTCTCTAGTCTCCAAGAGCCGCTTATAACTCTCTGTGGGACCCAGCCACCTGCCTCAGCCCCTGATTGAGGCCTCTTAGGCCTCTCATCTCACTATTCCCTACCCCCTCCAGGCACTTTCTGTAACAAAGAGGTTCTGCCTCCTGCCTCACACCTGCAACTGCTCCAGCTCTGCACACTCACCCCATTCGGAACTGCAGTTGCTTTGAGGAGGACAGAGGATGATAGTGTTTGACAGTTTCAGGCCGCACGCAGGGAGCCGCTGACCTTTCAAATAACCCTCTGGCCAGCCCAGAACCAACTGTCCCCTTCAGACCCTTACCACCACTTCTTCTTGCCTTGTACAAACATTTATTGAGTGCCTATTATGCCTCAAAGGGGCCCCGAAGCAAAAAGGAAGGCCGGCAGATCTACACTCTCTGCCTCACCCCGTTCCTCACTCTCTCCAGGCTCTCTGCACAGACTTTTTGAACCCCCGCCCCCTTTCCACACTGTCAGGCCAGCTGAGCGGCTGCAATCAGCTCTCCGCCATAGAAAACGAAAAGCTGAAAAGCACCGGTTGGTGAAGGGAGGGTGTGAGGGGGAAGGGCGGAAAGGGAGGAGGAAGGGTAAGGGCTGGTAGCCCTTCCTACTTCATGAGGATTTAGAAATAAACAGTTTAGGGAGGGGTCTTCTGTGTCTTGCCAACAGTGAAATGCAGCACCCCTTCTCGCCCAGACCTTGCTGGAAGGTGGCCCCTCACACAGGCTCAGGGTTCCCCCGGCTCCCGCTGCTCCACAAGCCCAGCCCTCCTCTGCCGCCGAGCTCTCCAGCACAGAAAGGTGGCGGTCAGGAGTCCAAGGCCGACGCCAAGAGCAGCCAGCGACATGCTCTGGGCCAGATCCAGGCAGGGCCCGCACAGCGAGAAGGTGATGCCCGTGCCAGCTGCACCAGCCAGCACCACCAGGGCGCCGAAGGGCAGGACGCAGCGCGACCAGGAGCTCCCCGCACCGCCGGTGGCCAAGAATAGGGCACGTAGGGCTCCAGGGGGTTCTGGGGACGCCAGACCTGGCAGGGTGGGCTCAGGCAAGGACTCTGGTGATCTCATGTTTCCGACTAGGTGGCCGTGCTCTGTCTGGGGTGGGGATGGGGTGCCAATGGTAAGGATGCCCACCACAGCCTTAGGTCACATCCTGGTCTGCCATGTAAGAGCCAATTGGTCCCGGACTTGGTGACGACACCAGGACGCCTGGGAGTTCCACTGCCTCCTCCTGGCTTTTGGCAAGGAATTGGGCGAGCAGGGTGGTGGGTAATATCTAAAGTGTCGCCACTATTTTCATGGAACCCTTCGCAAATACCGCTTCTAACTCCACCCAGGGTACCTCTCAGAGACTGAGCACTTAGAGAACAACCGGCTGGACACTACCAGGTAGGGTCATGTAGTCAAGGACCACTGAGGTCCCAAAGCTTGGCCAGGGGCAGGGGTGGACAATGCCCTTGCCAGTCTTTGGTTTAGGATCAACCACTGGTACATTGAGACAGTAGGTACAGTAATAAAGCAAGTGAACGAACCAATGGAATAATTATAGGTAGCCTGTCACAGAAAGGGATCCTGGGGTGGGAAATGACTGGTTGGTAGGGTTTAGGCTTCCTCTAGATCAAAGCACTTGAGCATAAGATTTCCAGGTAGCAGTTGACTGACCAAAAAAAGGGGGGCTTGGTTAGTCTAAGGGATGGTTCTAGTCAGGGGCATTCTCCTGCGGCTGGGGCCAGTTTGACAGGGTGCGGTAGCCTTCTCTCTTGGCTCACAGATTCCTGGGTTCTGTTCCGGGAGAGCTTCTCAGTCCAAGGAAGACAATGGTTTTTTTTTTTTTTAATGTTCTACTTCAGTCTCTAATTTGCTACAAGCCCTCAGCCAGGGCTGTTTTGACTGACTGACCTTTATAAAGACTTTTCTTTGTAAGAAGGACCTCCTGCTGGAAACCAGAGCAAGGTGCTGAGCTATTATCCACTTTATTCCTTCACCTAAAGACCTCAGCTGACACACTTCCTGTCAGGGCCCCTGAAGGGGCCGGTGACCCTAGAGATAGAGGCTATTTTCCTTTGTGAAAGGTCCCTGTCTGCCACCCAGTTTGGTGAGGCTCCAGAACTGTACAAACAAGATTCTAGTAGCCAGCTGGAAATGCTTGAGTATGGTTAAGTGCTCTTAAAATCCACTAAAATCCCAGTTCCTGTGAAACAGACAGGAGGGCTAGGTTGGGGTCCAAGGTGAGCTATACAGTGAGATCCTGTCTCAACAAGACAGAAAAAAAAAATGTGGGGACCTGGGACTGAAAAAAAAATGGTTTAGTGGTTAAGAATGCTTGCTTAGAGACATGGTGGTACTTTATCTCAGTACCTTTAATCCCAGTACTCAGGAGGGAGAGACAAGTGGGTTCCAGGCCAGTGAAGGCTACACAGAAAAACCCTAAGAGACACACAAACAAAAAGAGCACTTGCTAATCTTCGAGAGGACCCAAGTTCTGCTTCCGGTATATACATCTGGCAGCCTTTAACGCTAGCTACAGGGGATCTGATGCCCTCTTTTCAAATCTGTAGGAAATTGTACACAGATGTCATACATCTGCAATTAAGAATAAAATTTTCGCAGGGCGGTGGTGGCGTACGCCTTTAATCCCAGCACTTGGGAGGCAGAGGCAGGCAGATTTCTGATTTCGAGGCAGATTTCGAGGCTAGCCTGGTCTAGAGTGAGTTCCAGGACAGCCAGGGCTACACAGAGAAACCCTGTCTCGAAAAACCAAACCAAAAAATAAAATAAAATTTTCTTTTTTGAGACAGGGTCTTAATATATAAACCAAGTTGGCTTTATATAAAATTTGCCTCAGTTTCTGAAGTACTGGGATTAAAGGTGTTGGACACAACGACCAGCTTTTAAAAAGTCTTTAAAAAAAAAAATCTAGGAGCTGGAAAGATGGCTCAGCAGTTAAAAGCTTGGTTAAAAGTTTGGTCCCCAATATCTATGTGGCAGCTCACAACCAACTATAACTTCACTCCAGGGTATCTGAGGTATCTGGCTTCTGCAGGCATCAGGTACACATTTCCATATAAGCACCCATATTCACATATTTAAATCTGTTATACATATGGGTATTTTGTCTGCCTGTTGTATGTTTATCTTATGTGTGCAGTGCTTAGCCACGCTGGAAGAGGCCATGGGATTCCTTGGAACTGGAGCTACAGTGGATACTCTTAACTACTGAGCTCTCTCTCCAGCACCCAAAATAAAACTCTGGGGAACAGGCTAGGAGTCCTTGAGATGCTTGCAGGAAGTCTCATGCAGGAAGCAATACATGATTGCTGCAGAGGCTACAGCCCTGACTCCTGTCCTTTCTTCTTCTCCCAAGGAAGTAACAATTCCTTACAAAGGGATGAAGCCTAGGAGGGGACAGTGCCATGAGGGATCCTCAGAAGGAAGCAGAGACCCTCACAGGCTGGTCCCAGGTGACAATGGGGATGGAGTGGAGGTGTGGGAGGATGGTCATGGGCAGTCAAGCCTCTTCTGATGTGGCTTATGGCTTTCAGAGTTGCCAGGAGACGAATGTTAATGTTTTTTTTTGTTTGGTTGGTTGGTTTTGTTTGCCTTCCCTTATGCAGAAGAGTCAGTCATATTTTGAATTTTTATTGATCTATCCCTTTATTTTATTTAAACAGAGTTCAGGCTGGCCTTGAACTTAGGATCCTCTTGCTTCAGCCTCCCCAGTGGGATTACAGGTGTTCTCCAAATCCCTTATTTGACACAAGTCTTCTCATTTTGGTGTTCTGAGACAGGGTTTCTCTGTGTAGTCTTGACTGTCTTAGAACTTGCTCTGTGGACCAAGCTACCTTTGAACTCACAGATTCAACTACCTCTGCCTCCCACCCAGGTAATGGATACAATTCTTAAAACCACAAAGAAAGAAACAAGAGTCCAAAAAGCATCTTGCCAAGTCCTAGTGTGATATAATTTAAATATTTATACTCCCTCAAGGAGTTCAGGTGTCATGTAGGTCGTCTGTAGGTCTACAGTGAGAGAAAGGAGAGGCAGCCAAGGACTTCCCCAGGAAGCCAGAAAGCTGAGCCCTGACTAAGAAGTCTGGAGGCCAAGAGGAGCTAGGGGTGAGGGGGGAACACCCTGTCCACCTAGCTTCCCCAGTGATGTTATAGCTCTGTGCTCTTAGCTCCCCCAAACAGGAAAATCTCCCTCAATCCTTGTTCACTACTTCCCAGCTGAGAGGAGGGGGCTCCCCCAGAGAGGCTTGTCTGCCCAGACTGCTTAGTCAGCAGGGTCATCTCGAAGGACTGTGAGGAAGCGTTCGCCTCCCTCACAGAGCAGACTGTATGTAGCACGACACAGTGCCAGCCAAGGTGGTCCTCCTGGCTCCTGAGTGTTTATCAGAGGGAGGAGTTCAGCCATCAGAACCTAGGGAACAGTACGGAGAAAAGGCCTCAGTGGGCAACCCTGGGATAAGCTTCTAATCCTGGGCATGAGGGTGTTCCAGCTCACATGTAGGCCCAGACGCTCACAGACACAATCTATCCCAGGTCCTTCCTTCCTTCTCTTAAGACTGACCCTGGGTGCTCTTGTTTCTCTCTTGCCCTCTTAGGCTCTCCCCTTCCCCCTTCCCTTCCTTATTCCCTTCCCCCCTCTCTCCATGTGCTCATGGATGGCTTCTACTTCTCTACTCTCCCCATCCCTCTGCCTCTACTACCCGCTTAACTCCCCTCCCCATGCCCTGAATAAACTCTATTCTATACTAAAAAAAAAGAAAAAGGAAAAAAAAAAAAAAAAAAAAAAAAAAGACTGACCCTGGGGAAGTGGGTAAGTGACAGTCTCAGTAAGGTCACTGGTTCCCAGGAACCACCTCCTGGCCTGGAAGTACCTTTTCTAGATGGATCTGCTGGTCTAGCATGGCCACTTGAAGCTTCAAGGTTGCCAAGGTCTGCAGCTCCTTGGTGCTGGAGTAGAGAAGGAGCTCAGGGCTCCAGGAAGAGTCCATCTCTCCTCCACAGACTGAGGAGGCCCGAGGGGGCTTCTCTGCAAGGCATGCTCCTGGAAGTTGTTCTGTCACAGCTATGAGAAGAGACATTTGTAGTCCCATGGGGTGGCAGCCATCGCCAAGGTTTCTCTTCATCTTCCAGGCCAGGACTTAGCTTTCCAGGCACCTCTTCCCTACTCTCAACCGTATGCTTGGCTCTAAGACTCAACTTGTAAAACGACAAAGAGTAAGTCAGGCAGTATCACACGCTTGGGACGCAGAGGCCGGCAGATCTGAGTTCAAGGCTACCCTGGTCTACAGAGTGAGTTCCAGGACAGCTAGGACTGCACAGATAAACTCTTGTCTCAAAAAACAAAACAAACAGACAAACAAAAACCCCCCAGCCTAGTGTGTAGCAGCCTGTGGTATGCTTGGTGCTGTGGTGTGCTCAGTGTAATGGGTTTGTCTGCCTCTGGGCCCTGGGCTGACAGCTTTTCCTTCAGTCACAGGCAAGGCCGGTTAAAGCGCCTGAGGTTTGTCTTGTGCATTGTGTATTCAGAAGCTGAATACTGTGCCTCAGACCACACTGTAACCTGATACTGGGGTGCTGTATTAACCAATGTACTGTGAAGAACACTCCCCATTAGTTCATGATTGGTCAATCAATGGCTGGGGCTTCTGACTGGGCAGAAGAGGATAAGGAGGCTGGACTGGAAATTGAGTGAGGAATGGGGGTGGGGTGGGGAAGAGAACAGAGAGAGAGGAGCAAGTCACCATCAATGGGATGAGCAGGAAGAGAAGTGCACCCTGAGGACAGAGAGATGGAGCAGAGGCAGCCCGGGAGACACCAGACTGGCGAGGGACCGACATTTGTGTGGTTTTAACAGATGGAAGGATTAGAGAAGCTCAAAACTCACAGCACAGTGCCCACAGCTTAGTAATAATTGTAGGGTTTGTGTTGTTTACTTGGAATTTACACAACCAGTCATGGCATAGAAATCCCCAATAGTTATTTAGGAATAAGAAGTGACAGAACAACCCCCCAAGGAAAATAATCTCTTGCTTTACTCGATCCTAGTTCAGACCTCAGCACAGGTCGTGCTGGACTAGAACCTCACCTGCTTGCAGCGCCTGTATCCTGTGGAGATGCTGTCCGACAATGGTCTGCAGTCCTTCCAGGGTGAGCAGGCAGTGGTACTCCTGCATCCAGTCAGTGGGGGCTACACAAGTTAAGGAGGGCAAGCAGGGTCCATGATGGTCCCCAAACCTTGCCTGTCCCTCTTGCCTTCTACCCTCCACCCAAGTTCCAGTCAGGACCACTGACCTTTGGAAAGCTCCTTTTGCATATGAAGTCTCAGCAGTGTGCAGGCCTTCCTGAGGTTCTGCACATGCGCCTCCACTTCTACAGCACTGGGCCTGTGGCTGGAACAGCCTGACTGTACATTAGTTAGGGAAACTGGTCTGTGGCCAGACCCAACCCTCCCACCAAAGATGAGTTTGGAGAGACAGCACTGCTCCGTCACAGGCCAACTGGTCCTTTCCCAAATCTGCCAGGTTTAGAGCCTGCTCCAGGACTCCCAGCTCTCCCGTGACAGTAAGGATACAGCCATCTGGAGTTTATGGAGGAACTGCGTTTTGGCGGCTCTAGTGGCATCTGTGGAGTCGTTGGTTTGTGTAGAGCTGAGCTGGGCCCACAGGCTGGAACAGGCCCAAAGGCACCACCGGAGGAAAAAAGGTGATTTTAACTAACCAGAGTATGTCTTAAGAGGCAAGGGAAGTGATAGGCAGGGGCATATCCCCTCGGGCATATGGCTTTGCTAGATGGCAGGAGGGGGCAATGGAGGCCTCAGGGAACCTAGAGATATTGACTAAAACAAGGGGCAGGATAGATCTAACCAGGCACAGCACACCTCTATGAAAAGGCCCATTACTGTCTTCCAAAAGAAAGAGAGTCTGGAGTTTGAAGACTAAGTATCACGTTCAGCCCTTAAAACACGAATGATGGAGAACTGGAGACGTGGTACTTTTATAGAAGACGTGAGTTCGGCTCCCAGCACTGACCTCAGGCAACTCACACCCAGGAGATCTGACCCCCCTCTTGATGGCATACTCACCCAAACACACATGCATACTATATTAAAACAAAAAAGACATACCAAACAAAAGCTTGTTGGTTGAACTGGGAACTTCAAAAGCTGCTGAGCCTGAGCTGACTGTACCAGCAGAGTGTCAGTGTGCAGAGACCAGACACAGCACAAGCAGAGAGACCTGCCCATCCCAATGTTAGCCATGTTCTCCTGCCTCTGTCTCCACTCAGCCTTACCGGGAATTCTGAGAAGCTGCCTTCCTAAAGGCCACAGGTAGCTGCAGGAGAGTCCTGTGAGAAAGAGGCCAATACTAAGATCAGTCTCTTCACATTTTAGGGCTGTCACTCTTACTCCTGGCTCAGAACCCATTAGGTTCCAGAGCAGTGTGGGTGCTAGCCTGGTCCAGAGAGCCCATGGGCTGGCTGGTCAGGCTCTGGAACGACAAACTTGATACGATCCCAGCCAGCTGTTCCACCCGGTATGCTTCAGTGCCTGACCCTTATGGGGTGGCACCAGGGCCTTCCTCACCCAGCTCAATACCCTGTCAGGATAGGAACAGACAGAGAAGGCAGTTTCTCCAGTGAGGGTCTGGGAAACTTACCCCTTCTCCTTTAATGTGAAGAGTTCTGTGGCATGAGGAGCAGATGATGGGACCATTTGTTGGTCCCTGAGGCCTGGTCTATACCCAGTAGTTTGGTCTTGTGTTCTTACATGGGTCTTATCTCCCCTTGATGGAAGTCTGCACTCAGGGCAATCCTTAGCGTTGGTTGTGGCCCATTGTATGCCCTTGGTGGATCCTGCACCCGATACACGGCTGCCAGCCTGGCTGGGAGCCCGAGGATGGGCAGAGCCAGTAGTACCAGAAGTGGCTGCCTTAGATGTTAGACTGGGGGTTCTGTCTCTTCGTCCAGCATTGGACACACCTTTCCTGACACGTACAGCCTTCTCCAGTGCCTGGGTCAAAAGTTTCAGCTCCTCGAGGTCTTGAGAACTAGGTGTACATGCTATGAACGTCAAGAACCAAGCAAGAATTCCTCATTGTCCCAGGATGGATTCCCCCATGACAGCAAGCCAGACAAAGGCCAGGGACAGTACCCGTAAAAAGCAGCTGACGTTTACCTGGACTTGGGTCTTCTTCCTTGGTTTCTAGAACTGGAGACGGGGTCCTGGCTGGTTCCCTGCAAAGACAGGGAACAAATATCATATCCCTAAGCAGATCCCCAGTCTCAGACCCTGTAGGATAAGGGGGAGGGAAAGCAATGACAACCCGACTCTAAAAGTGTGCAGTTGTACTTGGCCTTCTAGGCCCTGGAGCTCTGCATAATCCTGATGGTCCGAGGAGGGACTGGCCAGGAGGTCCCTGGGTCCACGCACCAGACCTGCAGCAGCCTCCTGGAAATGCTCAGGCTCCGCTCCAACTGCCGCTGCCGATCGGCGCAGGAGTCCAGGGCGCCCTGCAGCTCCACTACCACCCTGAGGACAGGTACTATATGAGCCTCGGAACCCCGCGCCCGTCCGCCCCATTCCCTTCTGTTGCACGAGACCCACCGGTGAGCGCAGTCCCCGGGTAGTAGGTAGTTTGCTTTAACGCCAAGCATTTTTGCCGCCGCCACAGAGTCCCGCGCCTTCCGGGCAGAAGGCCGCCCACTTCCGGCTAGGCTACCCAATCTTGAGCATAGCATTCAAGATCTGCTCCATAGCGCGAATCCAGCTCAAGCTCCACCCCATCACCCCAGGCTCCGCCCTAACCCCGCCCCCAGGGCGGACGCAGAGGCTCTGTTGGAACCTCGACGTTGCCAGGGTAGATAAGACTTGATCGCTTCCGATTTGGGTAACCAGATAATGCTCTTCTGGCAGGGCATCCGTGACCCTCTAATGTTTGATTTTCTGTCTTAACCAGGTTTTGCCGAACCTATTTTGAAAACAGAGATAAGCGGTCTTCCTGACTCCAGGGTGACTTAGGAATCAAGCATAAGGAAGAAAGACGATCTTAGAACTGGGTCGAGGAACAGACGCATAGGAATGAATGCCAGATAAGCGCCAGAAGAGCAGCGAAGCCCAGGGAATCTGGAGCATGTGGGACTTAGGTCTGCCAAGCTAGTCTACGTCATGGCAGGTTGTGCAAGGGACAGATGAGTATCGGATAGTGGGGGGAGGGGAGGCTGAAACCCAGAGAATGGCCAGGAGGCAGTAGGTAGACCACAAGCAAACACTGTAGCTAAGGCTCAGCAACGGCCTTTGCCCTCAAAGATCTACCAAGTTAGGTCAGCTTGTCAATTTATGGTTCATATTGACTTGTTTGAGACAAGCCTTGTTTCCCCTAGAACTCGCTCTGTGGATCACAGAGCTGGCCCCGAACTCACATAAATCCACTTGCCTCTGCCTCCTGAGTACTGGGATCAAAGGCATGTTCCACCACCGCCCAGACTCGTGTTGCATATTGCAAGCTATTTATCATCTACTCCATTAATATATTTCACTTTTATTTATTGAGACAGTCTCAGGAGGCCCAGAATGGCTTCTAACTTGTCAGAAACCTGGGCCTCATGCCGAGCAAGCACCCCATCAAAACCCCTAGACTCATTAGCACAGTATTTTATCCTAAGGCTATAAGAAACTTTTTTGTCCTTAACATATGGGATCCTTTATGAATTTGAGTGTCATTCTTGCACAGGGGCCATGCTAATCTGTTATTGTCTAGGTTAGATGTGCTGCTGAAGTGAGCACTTTTTTGTTTGAAATGAGGTCTCATTGTTGCCCTGATCTGAACTATGTAGACCAACCTGGCCTTGAACTCCCAAATGCTGCTCATTTCTGAAACAATAATATATCAGTACATTATTCTATGTTCTCCATCAAGTCAGACTGTACGTGCAGCTGGATCTTATGTAGTCTCAGCTGGCCTTGAGTTCATTCACTAGGTAGCTGAGGATGACCTTGAACTCATGACCTTCCTGTCTCCACCTCTATATTTCTTAATTAAAAAACTTCTACATCCACGCCACGTATAGCTTGCATGCCTTGTGCCCAGGGCGGGCCTGAAGAGGTTACTGGAATTTCTGAAGCCGGAGTTATGGATGGTTCGGAGCCACCATGTGGGTTTGGGAATCTGAACCCAGGTCCTCTAGTCAAGCAGCAAATGCTCCAAACCAATGAGCAGTCTCCAGCCTCCCTCTTCCATCTCGTAGAAGCCTGCCACTAGACACAGCTTTCCCATTTGTTTCTAACGTGAAAAATGTGCTTGGCTGTTGAAAGGACAGGGAACAGTGGCCAGTAGAACTGGAGATAATAAATTATTAATTCTAGGGCCCAAGAAGTAAGGTAACCCTAGTTGTTTAGGGACAAAAAGAGCAAGAAAGTGTAAGCTGTGTCAAGCAAAGGGGGAGGGGACCGAGATCTAGGTAGTCCCATTGCCACACTTAGGATAGAATATGGGCACTCCTACTTAGACTGGCCTCCAGTAGCCCAGGGAAACTTAAGACCTATGGAGTGTAAGCCCTCATAGAAACCAGAGGGACCCAGGTCTGTGCCTAGAGTAATGTTTCCTACAGGTGCAGGCTGGAAGTGGGTTGAGATTTTATTGTGTGTATAAGTGCCACATGTAGACCTGATGGCCATAGAGGTCAGATACCGTCCAAATGGAATTTAGGGTGATTGTGAACCATCATGTGGGTGCTAGGAACCAAACCCAGGTCCTCTCCACAGGTACCAAGTACTCTTATAGGGAGCCATCAGGGAACCATGGACAAGGCGGGAGACAGGTAAGGGACAATACCACTCATGCATTAAGACTCTTCACATTTAATCCTCACGACATTCCTGTGAGGTAGGTATTACTGTCCCCTCTCACAGGAGGAAACAGGCTGACTCGTGAACACTCAATGGCGTAGAACAATCCAAATGCCTGGAGTCCCTTTGCCCCAGTATGCCTCAGCAGGGTGGTCAGAATTCTGCTAACAGTAGTAAAAAGAGCTGCCATTGGGACAGAGCAGAGAACAGAGAGCTGACAAGTCTCCACCTGCACTTGTGGTTCAAGGGGATGTGGGGCACTCCTGGCCTGGTCCTTTCTTCAAGAGGAGATGGAAGTACACTTGGTGGGGTCTGCATGTCTGCTGAGGTTCCAGCAGACTCCCCAGGTGTTGAGGACAGCTGCCTTCCACATGAGGCAGACACTCTTGCATTCTCTGACAAGCTCCAAGGGACCAGCCCTTTCTGGTTTCTTCCCATGGAATCCAGCCACAAACCCGGCAACTCCTCTGACTTCTTGCTCTCCTGAATCTTTGTGGACTTGGGCATTACAAGTGATTGTTTATGGTTATCCTCTAGAAAGACTCGTTTTTCCTAAGCAAAGAACATAAGGCTAGAACCAAGGGGTGGGTATCAGTTTCCTTTCCTGAGGTCAGATGACCCAGCCCAGGCTGACCTGGAGCTTTGGGTTCCCTTGACATCCTTCTGGCTGCTGGGATTGTGTTGTTGAGGCACCATATAGGACTAGATTTTCTTTTTTCAGTTGAAGCCCAGTAATATTAGGGATCTGTTAGCTTTTTATTTAATACCCTCTATTTCAAACGCTTTCTTATTTTTTTCCCCATTAGAAGAAACGTAGAAATAAAGATGGGCAAAGAATAGCCTAGAAATTCAGTGCAGAAACATGGCCACATGGATACAATGGGACAGACAAACCACTCTGGGAGGATAGATTTTGAAAATGAGCTCAAAGTGCCAGAGGGAGGGACAGGGACACCTGCAACCCCAGCTTCAAGGGCCTCACACACCATTAGGCTATAGTCAACACTGATATGCAGGGACACAGGCTCCCTAGGCTGAAGGGTGCGGGGGGTGGGGGCGAGTGCTGTGTTCAGTTGAGAGCTCCCCATTGATCTAAAACAAGACTTGCCAGCAGGGGTTTGAACTGTGTTAGGCCATCCAGGCCACTAGTATTCCAAAGAAGCTGTCAGCTCCTAGCCTCAGGTAGTGAATGTCAACACAGAGGCTCATGCTCCCAGAGACAGCAGGACACAGAAGGGTAGAGAGGGATAGGTTTCACAGGTGTGCCATGACAGGTGGGAGGCTGCTGTCTAACTTTTTACCGAGCTTGACGTTCAGACAGCTTGCACTGAACTCCCCTAAGGAATCTGTTGCCCTTCTGGGATCTATACAGCACGGTCGGCAGTGTCCTAGTGAAACAGCAGCCCTCCCTCAGTAAACATTCACTGTGGCGAAGGCTAACACACTCAGAGCTTCAGGAAGCCCAGGTTCGTATCCTCGTCACTGTGCACCGATAGGTTTTGGCGCTTTACCGGTTGCTGGTGAACACCGCTCTCGGGGGGATTTGGGGGACGACACTGTAAACATGACTTCTTAGCCTGATGGTGGCAAGGCTTTGTGCTTGAGTGGCTGCCCACAGAGAGCACTGAGGTAGATCGGGAAGAGCTCCCCATGCCACCATCTAGGGAGTTTGTGGGACTCGAGCTGCTGACAGAGGAGTATCCTGAGGTTGTGATGTCCTTGCCCGGATCTCCCCTGATGCAGAGAAGGGGCCTGGGAGCTGAAGCTGGAGGTGCCTGGGTGCCTGGTGCTGGGTGGGTCTTGTCCTCTGGCCAGGCCTCCTCATCACTGGACTCCTGGCAGCAATGCTCCTCTGGGTTCAGGTAGACCACAGTAACGTCAAGGAGTCCACTGGGAGCTGTGACTATGGAAATTTAAGTATTAGAACTAGGACCCTTACCTTGTCTGTCAGCTTGACACTCTCTCTCTCTCTCTCTCTCTCTCTCTCTCTCTCTCTCTCTCTCTCTCTCTCACACACACACACACACACACACACACACACACACACACACACACACGACACTGATTTGACTGAGGCCCTTCAACCAACAAAGACCCAGACAGAGATGGATATGGGTTTAGACTACATCCTCTCTCCCTGTTGGGTGGGGAAACCCTTGACCTGACTGTGTCGGTCGGGTTCACATGCTTCCCTCCTCGGCACAGTGGCAGATGGTCCTGAGATCACATGTCACCTGTAGGCCACACAACTCTTCCCCAGCACTAGCAGCACTCACCATCACCTTCCTTCTCGCCTTCACTCTCCTGGTCTCCCTCATAGCCAGAGCAGCAGTCCAGGCTCCAGTCCAGAAGGCTGCCTAGCAATGTCTCCTCCTGGTTCGATAGCTCTGCGGTGGGCGTAGTGACAAAGCTGCCCCTGTCCTCCTGAAGGCTATTTTCTCGTTTCCTGCAAGGTAGGGAAAGTCCATGAAGCACTGCTCACAGATGGCAGCACCTGGAGAACCAAAGTGGTGCTGTACATGTGCCAGAATGTCTATATGACCCTTCTCTTACCTTGTGTTCTAGAAAACACCCATGAAGCTAAAGCAGACGCAAGCCCTCAAAGGCAGGGGAGCAACTGGAGGAGGAACTGGGCAAGGCCAGGCCTTAGTCTAGGCTAGCCTTGGGCCCTGGGACCCTCTTATAACTGGCCGAAAGACTCCACCACCCTACAGGGTACTAGATGTACCAGATAAGGACAGTTCAGGGCCTGATTACACAGTCTGTTTTTGGGGAAGGCCAGCAAGCCTGTCAGCCTGGGTCAGGGCTAGAAAACTACATTGAGATAGGTCAGCCTCTGGAAGAGCCTGCCACACTCACCAGGCCTTTCTGCTGCTGTCTCCAGGGTGAATGTGGCTATCCCATGTTACCCTGGAGGTCCCTTTGGAAGTCTTTTCTAAAGGGGCTATAAAGGGCCTTCTGGAGAGCAGGTTTAACACTGAAATTAGGCCCTTTAGAGGATCAGTGTACTCACCTCTAGTGAGTACATGTGTCTGTCTGAGATGTCCCTATGGGTAACCCTGTCCCCAATAGTCAGTCAAGAAGACCAAATACATAGCATGATGTAAACTGTGGCCTCCTCAGGAGGACACAGATCTCCCCCCGTTCTGCAGAGAGGAAGATGCTCTGTTGCTTCTTTTGTAGCAGGTATGAAAGGTGAACCTGACACTGCTACCTCCTCACGTCTCCTCAAGACACCAGTGACTGAAGCCAAGGACCCACCCGCCCACTACAGAGCACTCTTGGCTCATATGCCAGGTACCACCCAGCCACCCAGTGCCCAACCCAAGGTTGCTCAGGAGCACAGAGGGCTGGCACAGAGGGAGACTGAACATTGCAGGATCCATAGTTTAGTGGGTGAGGTAGTTATTCTAGGAGGTAGAGCCAAAGCGCTGGTCTCTGAGAGTCAGAAGAACAGACTGTACTATGCATAGCAAAAGGCAGAGACCAGGTGGGCCGCTAACAAAGACATTACTCAAGTCACAACCCAACTACCATCTATGCCACATCATGGAGCAGAGAGGACCAGGTGAATAATGGCGTAGGTAGAGAGAGACCCGAGGAGGAAGAGGTCAAGGCCAGAGGCCCTGGGTTAAACCTGGGACCTGCTGGCTAAGCTGCCCTAGGAAGCTCTCACATCCGTGAGAGAGTGCCGCAGCATGGTTGCAGACAACGGGGTAGACTCACCGCTTGCTTCTCCTTCCGGAGGGTGAGCTGAGGAAGGTGTGGATCTCCCCTGAACTAGGGAAAGATGGGGGCTCTGGGGTCTCCTGTTTCACTCCTAATGCCGTGCACAATTCGGCATAGCTCAGCACCTGTAGGGAGGGCAGAGTGAAGAACTGCAGACCGATCCAGGCACCCCTGCCAGGAGCCAAAATGACAAAGTGAGGCCCTACCTCTTCCTGGCTGATTTCCTCATAGCACTTATCCTCAAATCGCTGCTTCACGGCTGTCAGAGAGACTTGTCTGTAGTCTTTGGGTGCATCGTCATGGAAACTGGAAATGCACACAGAAGCAGACACGTGAGCCCCAGAGAGGACAGCAAGATTTCAAAACCAGTCCCACTGCTAAGGAGACACAGGAAGACTGGCAGCTCCTCAGGTGGTTAGCTTCCCAAGAGACAGAGAAAGAATACCCAAAGGACGTGCACATGAATGTTTATCTCACGTGGGAACAGTCAGAGGTTGAGACAACTCATGTGTCCATCAATGGTCAGATGGACAAAGGTCCATTCACACCGTGAGCTTTATTCAAGCACCGACACACATTGCAATATGACCCTGAAATGGGATGCTCATGGAGGAGCCAGACTCACAGAGCGGAGCACTGCATGACTGCTTCATTCAGTGACGTCCAGAATGGGCAAAGCCACAGATTCAAAGCAATGAATGGATGCTGGGGTCAAAGAAGCTGGGAGATTGCTAATCGATGGCTAAAGAATGGGTTTCTTTGGAGTGGTGGCAAAATGTTCTAAAATTGGTTGTACAATTCTGAATATATTAGAAGACTTTTAAATTATCAACTTTTTTTCCCCTTTGGTTTTTCGAGACAGGATTTCTCTATGTAGCCCTGGCTGTTCTAGAACTTGCTCTATAGACCAGGCTGGCCTCAAATTCAGAGGGATATGCCTGTTAGGTTTAAAGACATACACCACCACTGCCCAGCAAGTCATAAAACAAAAAATGATCAGAGTAGGTAGAGTATATATTTAGTATATATATAAAGCCCTGAGATCTATCCCTAGCACCAGAAAACACACACACACACATACACACACACTCACAAACACACTCCTTTGTAGATAAACATCATCATGTCACAATCAGTACAAGGAAAGGTGGAGGGCCGAGACACTGGGCCTATGACAGTCACCCTGCTTCCTCAGCCATGATCTGGGCACCACAGGAAAATACGGCGTAGGGAAAAGCATAATGCTGATAGGTCCCCATTACTGGAGCCCAGTGGGGATGCAGGAGGGCAGAGAAGGTACTGGTAGATTATTCTAGAGAGCTCAGACTTTACCCTGGAAGCCAAGAGGGAGGCTCTGGGCTGAACGGGAAGAATGTGCTATAAAGAGGCAGCCCATGGCAGTATCACAAAGTCACCACAGAGGCCGGATCTCAAGGCAGGTGAGTAAATGCATGGAAAGGACACTGGACCCAGCAACCAGCAGGCTTTAGAGATGAAGGAGAAGCACTCAACACTACCTCTGGGAGGAACACTGTGGGAGAACAGCAGCTCAGACATACAAGCAAGGTCATCTGCGCTGGGATCAGGAGCCTTAGATAAGCTATGAACACTGGGAGTGGTTAACCTTTTGGGGGAAGAGGATCCAAGCAGTGAAAGATGCCAGAACTACCTGGCTCCTCAGGGTTGAGGTCATGAGGACAGAGAACCAGACAGTGCAGCCTGGAGGTGAGAGGACCCCAAGGAAGGAAGCAAGACTGCAAGCCAAGCTGAGAGAAGACAGAGGCATCCACAGGCAGACGCAACCCAGCCCCGTGTCCATGACACTCCCCTTAGAGCCAGCAGCCCAGTATCTGTCGGGAACCTGCCCTTGTCCCAGTGTCCCCAACCTGGGACATGGACACGCTTCCTTCAGGGGACCCTAGCCTTACCTGGGTACCACTTCCACATTCCCACCCATCCTCCCCACCCGGCTTCTTTCTTTAAGAAGATTTATTTTTGTGTCATGTGTATGGGTGTTTTCCTGCAGGGACATCTGTGCACAAGTACGATTTGGGCCTGTGGAGGCCAGAAGGTGGCACAGGAACCCATGGAAGTGGAGTTACAGGTTGATATAAGCCTCCATGTGGGTGCTAGGAACTGAACCCGGGTCCTGTGGAGAAGCATCCAGTGCTCTTACAGACAGAGCCATCCCTCCAGCTCCACACACCCCAACTCTCCTTTCTACCACTACCTGACAAGCTACTGGGACTGTGCTATCCTCGTCCTTTTCCTTCTCTTTAAACATTCTGACCATGGTTTCCCTCCCCCATCTCCCTCCAGATCCTCCCCACTCCCCACCCATCCAGCTCCAAGCCTTCCTTCTCTTTATGAAACAAACAGGCATATTAAAAAAGCAAGCAGACTGGAATTTTAAAAAACGTGCAACACACACACCATAAAAACACAAAATTGGGAACCATAATATAAACAAAAGACCCATAAGACAAAAATTTTCCTAAGCTACGAGACAAAAACAAAAACAAACAAAAAACCCAGACACTATAAAGATACTGGGAAATTCATTTGTGTTGGTATCCACTGCTGAACACGGGCCTAAGGTTAACTGTGGCTCATACACCCTGTGAGAGCCCATTGGAGGAAACTGGTTTTTCCTATTCTGGACTTTTCTAAGTATCAAAAAACGGTCCTGTGAGGTGAGCAGACATGGCCCAGACAGGGTGAAGGGACAGGTAGGAAGTTGCAAAGTAGTGGTGGGAAGAGAGAACTGAGCTCTGGGAGTTGAGTTGATCTCCACAAGCACACACGTGCTCACACAGCCTATCATAAGAACAATAATGATCAAAAATAATGATATTAAAATATTCTAGTAACCTTAACATAATACCATTATTAAAAACAATTTTAAATGTCGGCCCCAGGGAAGACGTTTTGGCGTGAAACATCATCCCAAGAAGACAGCGGCCACATGGTAATCGCAGGTCTGACGGTAAGCTAAGTTTCTCATCAGGGAAGCGCATCTCACAGACCCGCCCCCACCAGCTTCCTCTCTGAAGACAGGGTCTTAGTACAGTCAAGGTGTCATGGAGCTGTGATAAGGAACTCAGAATGACCAGGACTCACAGCCGGCCCGCTTGGCCCTCTCCAGTGCTGAGAGTACACATGCGGACGTGGACTCACCACTTCTTATGAAGGCTCAAGACGCAGGGCGTGAGGTCACTGTAGGAGAACCCCGTGAGGTCCCACAGCTGAGTGGTCCAGGGCTGTGCTGGGGAGAAAAGCAGGCCAGGATTGTCACAGTGCCCCACAATTCCCACAGTTCTGATAGTTTTGTAACATGTACCCAGACTCAGGCTTTTAGTCCCTTTAAAATACCCTAAATTGCCAGTAAGATGGCTCCATGGGCAAAGGCAGTTATTGTCAAGCCTAATAACTTAGAACTGATTCCTGGAAGCCATATGGTAGAAAGAGAGAACCAATGCCTGCAAGTCATTCATCCTCTGACCACGACACTGAGTGTGCACACATATGCACATAGAAATTAAATATAAATGTGAAGTCAAAACAAAAAAACTATCTTTGAAAAGACTCCATCGAAAGTACACACACTTTTGAAATGCTAGGTACTGCTTCAGCTAGAACCACCAGCCTACACCCCCACTCCCAACTGCTTCTCATCCTTACTGCTGCTCTTTCTTCTCCAGGAGGAAGGACAAAGTGTTTATTTCCTCCCTTCCAACCTCTCTTATCCGAGAACTTCCCAGGGACGCCAGGACACCGCCCCCTCCAGAGGGCCTTACTCTGCCCATGCATCAGTCTGGCCAGGAGCAGGGCTGCAGAGGCTAGGCGGGCTGGGGCATAGATGGACAGGCTGGTGTGCAGCAGGGTGAGCTCACAGAGGAAGCTGCACAAGTGCTGGGTTCTGGGTGCGACAGGGACCAGTGTCAGCAGGACCTCTTTATAGTCAACCACGGTAGGGATCTAGACAAGAAGGAGGTAAATATCATGTCTCATCCATTGGTGTTACTCTGAGGCACAGCCCAGCAGGGGTCTGGCGTAGCTGCTCATGCTGGTGCCCAAGCTCAGGGTTTCAGGGCACCTAGTAACACACCGCAGCCATGGCGTCTTGGTGTTTTCTTCACAGCACTAACGCTCAGTGGCCGCAGCTTCTCCCAACACCTCCCCTGTGAGCTCAACCAGGAAGACACTTTTGCTCAAAGGAGAAAGCCACCCCCTACTTACCCGAATCTTCCCTTCCAGGGCAGAGATGATCTCCCCCATCACTCGAACCAAGTCCTCGTATTTATACGTGTTGTCTGTGAGCCACACAGCCTCTCTAATGGTCAGAATCTCTTTGCTGATGAACCTGGAATGTAGAGATGGGCACTCAGGCCTGAGCTGAGGGGTGACAGTTCAAAGAGCTTCTGGGGAACCTCAAGGCAAAGGCATGATGGGATTGCTCTGGACTTAGGTGGCAAAAGAAAGTTAGGCTGTAGATCTAGTTGCTTCTGACTATCAAATAGCATTCCAGGTGCTACAAAGAGGAGGCTAAAACAGAACCCATAGACCAAGTAGGAAAGGCACAGCTACAGAGCACAGACAAGAATGTGCAAGTGTCAGGTCCCAAGGAAGCCTGGCACAAGTCTCACTGAGTATCTGCGGCTCCTCCCATAACTCTTGCCCCAAGCCTACCCTAAACCACTACGGCCCAGGGGCTGGCCTTCCTTTCCGGCGGCTTCTGATCCCTACATAACCCAGCCAATTTGGAATCTGTTCTTTTGGTCCTCCCTACCCGCTCTCCGTCCAGCTCTCCTCGCTCCTCTTCCTCTCCGTCTCCCCTTTTCCCTCCTCTCTCATGGCATGCTCTACTCTGCTGGCCATTTTGAGTCTGGACTCTTCTAGGTACCTCTGGCTGTTCTCTCCCTTATAACCACAGAGGAGCTGTCATGTCCTGCCTTTCATCCAAAAAAGACCCACGGTGACACTGTAATTCAGCTCTCTATTTCTCTTTATGACTTTGCAGATGAGGGCTTTTTTTGGTTTTCTTTGGTCGTGCTGTGGGTCAAAGTCAGATGCAGGCCCGCCAAGCAAGCACTGTAGCTTCTAAACAACCCCTTCAGCTCCTGTCCTCTCTCGACAGCGTTTGAGTATAAAGAATGCAGATGCCAACGTAGGTGAGCTGCTGGGAGCCGCAGTTGGAAACGAGGGGCCTAGAGCATGGTAGACGGTCTACACACAGCCCACCCAGTGTTTGGCCACAGGAATCCTGACTGTCCCTGAGGCAAGTGGGCAGCCTGGTCTCTGTTGTCCACAAGTACTAACTAGCGATCAGGAAAACTCTGCTCCAGTGGTCCCACAAGCATCCTCCCCAGCAAATGTGGATTGCTGCTCAACCTTAGCAGAAGGGTCGGCACAGGCAGCAGCCCCACCAGCTTGCTGACTCATCAGATGACCTGGGATATGACATTTTGGTCACAGAACCTATTTGAAGAAGGTGGTAAGGTCAGGTTGCTCCCCCAGAAGTCTACAAGTCCTCCTCCTGTGGTCCTATGATTATGCTTCTTCTAGCTGGCACACGGACACTCGAAGGTGCTCCAGTGTCCTCTGTGGCTGGATATATGCCCACATGGCTAACCTAGTATGGAAGGTAGGCTTGGCAGCTTTGGTGGAAGAGAGCAAATGTGAACAGGGGCTCCTTCATGACCTTCATAAAACAAAAATCCATCCCAGTGGCCTGGGATGTTCTGCCCACAGGTTCCTATACTTGTCAACTTGACCCAAGATAGTCACCTGGGAAGAGATGTTACTAGAGACTGTTTTAGGTCTACTCTGTGGGATATTTTCTTGATTGATGGTTGATTTTCTTGATTGATGATTGCTATGGGAGGGCCCAGCTCACTGTGGGTAGTGTGGCCCCAGGGCTGATGGCCCTGGGCACCATAAGAAAGAAGGCCCAGCAAGACGAGGAGCAAGCCACTAAGCAGCACCATGGCCTCTGAGTTCTTACCTCCAGGCTCCCTCCCTGCTCAAGTTCCTGCCCTCAGTGATGAACTGTGACCTGGAAGCATAAGCTGGAATAACCCTTTCCCCACCAAGTTGCTTTTGATCATGGTGTTTATCACAGCAATAGGAACCCTAAGACAGTTCACAAGTGAGCCTAGGACAGAGTTAGCAGGGATGCAACTGAAGCTGCTCCTTACACGGGGCCTGACAAGACAAGGTGTCTGGAATGTGGGTCCTAGGAAACAGCTGACCATGCTGGGGCCATCTAGTTTAGGAAGAAAATGCATTTTGGAAAGTGCCTTTTACATCACTTCCAGAGGCAAATCTAAGGTAAAAGAAGGCACTGGCTAAGGAGAGGCAGCTTGGGAAAAGATATAAACTGAACCTATTTGAAAAGTCAGAGCTGCTGTGTGACATGTCCCACCTGTGTGACATCCTTAAGGCAGGCTCTGATGGGTGGGGGCTTTGGTGGCAGACTGGAGGATTCAATCTCAGTGATACTTTATCTCTGATGACTAGGAGGAAGGTACGGGTGGACAGCTACAACCTTTCTTGGCAACTATCAACCTTTGGATCATGGGAAAGCATAGTCTAGCTTAGGCCTTCCCAAGTCCATGCTCTGGGTCCTGAGACTGTGTGGGGATACAGACTCCCAGCAGAGGTACAGTCAACATACAAAGGGTCAACTCTGCCACTCCTCCCTCACAGAGGACACTGGGATTGAAATTACTGTATTAACACAACTGAACCAGGCACTTAAGAGTCATTTCCCTTAAAAGCCAGCACCTAGAACGCAGAGGATGGTGAGCCCTGCACCCAGGAGGGACCAGCCCATCAACACTTCAGCCCTGCCAGCTTGGCCAAGGGGTTTCTCACCGGGTACAGATGACCATGCAGGCAATGCCCAGAAGCTGGAGCTTGTATCTGGGGACCAGTCTCCTCCGCAGGTACCGGTCTACACACTCCACTGTCAGGTGAAGACACAGGCTTGTAAAGTCCTTCATTGTGGCAACTTCCACCAGCCAGTCGATTAGAATGTATCTGCGGAGAGAGGACCGCCTGTAAAAACTAGGACAAGCATCACGTCTTCCATTTCTGCCAATTCTGTTCAGTCTGAGCAAATGGCTTCACCATTTTGAAATCACTGGTTTACCAACTCCGAGTCACCCACAGCTACTCCCGGGAGGCTGGTTGGTGGGTTCAGCCTGCGCCAGGCCCCAAAGTCTGCACATCTCCAGCGTTCACAAATCCGAGTCACCCCTCAGTCACCAAAGCACTGGGTGATCTCAATCCTAATAGGGCAGTAGGTACCAAACGGGCAGCACGGCAGGGCTGGAGACAGAGCACAGCTCTCAGGGCCAGACAGAGGGATCCAGCTGCTCTACGCCATCAGACTGTCCCAGCCCTTGGAACAATGGTCTGCAGAGGATCAAAAAGCCAGCAATGCCACTTAAAGCAAGAGCCACTCAGTGCCTGCAGTGGCGTCTTCCTAGTTCCCTCATCCACCACCCCAGATGGATGCTCAGACACAAGAAGGCTGACAGAAGTGTCCTTCTCTACCAGGGAGTTAAAACCTGGGGTCCAAGGCCATAAATAATCACAGGAGAATCTGGTAAGGGCACTTTAATATGCCCAATGCCTCTTTGAGCAAGAGGTGTTTGTTTAAAGCCGAGGGGTTAGATCAACCGGAAGCAAGAGAGAAAAGGTGTAATAATGTGGACTCTTGGGGAAACAGAAGGGGCAGGCTTCGTCTCAGCTCAGAGTCACCGTCAGAAGTCGAAGGAAGGATGGGGAGGTGGGGTGAGGTGGTGAAAACCAGGACAGGCAAGGTCTACTCCCCCTAAGAAGGGTCAGGTGTTTGAGGTTTAAAGTAGACAGGAGTGAACAGACTAGGAAGTTCCCCTAAGCAGATATACTTAACAAGCTTAATCATCTGACTTCTTTTTAAGTCATTATTACATTTATTTTGTGGGTATGGGTGGTACATATGTGTGGTCGCACATGCCATGGCAGGTATGTGGAAGACAAAGGACAACTTTTGAGTGTTGGTTCTCTCCTTCCATCACATCGGTCCTGGGAACTGAACTTGGGGGTTTCAGGGTTGGCAGCAATCACCTCCATCTGCTGAGCCATCTTACTGGCCCCAGTGATCTGTTTTTAGAACTCTGATTACTGGGCTATTGAGTACTAGGATTAAAGGCATGCATCAACCCGGGGCTTCCCAATGAGACTGGGATGGCTGCACATAGAACCTCCAGGACCCACCCATATCCACTTCCTCAGTGTAAGCACATGCCACTCCCTCAAACCCCCAGAACTGGGTACCAAACTAAAGTCCCATTCTTGTGCATTGAGCAAACTACTCAGAGGCTACCTCTCTGGCCCCAGGACAACAATTATTTAAAAAGCATTTACTAAACACGGTTCATATTCCAAGCAGTGCCTGAAAGGGGCCAAAGGTTTCCCATCATAAATCAAAATCTTATTTGAAATTTCAGATGAAAACTTAAAACACCATTCACATGTCCCTAACTCTAGTCACCTTCAAACATGCTCTGCAATTTATCGTGTTACCACTACTATTGTTTGAAGCCTGGAAGAAAGACAGTTGTGCTGGGTATCACAGTAGCTACCCCAAGGGATAGGATGGCCAGGATAGAGCTGGGGAGGGGTTTGCCAGCTCACTAGGTCTGACCTTCAGTCACTGAGTGGCACAAAATATACTGATTATAAAGAACTGTAAAGAAAAGGTTATGGGGTTGTGAGTTAGAGACAAGTCATCATGAATAAGGTGCTGGGCTCAAAATCTAGGCCCTCCTCTATCTCCCCCATGCCCCCCCCCCCAAAAAAAAGTTGTATGTTAGCTTCAGAAACTGGAGGTATGAGTCTCATCATTTCAGAACACTTACAACAATTTAACATGCTCTTCACCGAAGATGACTTTGGTGGCTTACACCTATACTCCCAGAACAAACAGGAGGCTAAATAAAGCAGGATAACCAGAAATTCAGGGCCAGCCTGGGCTATAGCAGGACTGGGAAGATGGTTAAGTATTTGCTGAATAAGTATGAGCATTGGCATTTGGATCCAGAGCCCATGAAAATGTGTGTGGTGACCAACTGTTAATTCCAGCTTCTGAAGCTGAGGTGGGATTCCCCAAATCCCACGGGGAGAGACAAGTAATACGGTCAGCTAATACTAATGTTAGAGGGGCTCTGGTTTGCTGGAGAGACCCCACGTTATTGAATACGGTAGAACAATTGAAGATTTGTGACATCACATTTAAGTCTCATGTGTATGTACACACATGTGCACCCTACATACATAAACACACAGAAATGGGGGAAAAGCAAAAACAGTTATCAGTAAATGTCAAGCAGAATTATTTTCTTCATTGAAGTCTGAAACAACTCACACACTCACACATTCACAGATTGTTATAAATTGGTAAAGAAATGGCATGTTGTCTGGGAACAGGAGACATAGGTTTTGCTCCGTCACCAGATCAAACACCAGCTCTTGAAGGCCTCACCTCATGGTGTCACTGAGCCCCTTCTGCACGGAAAATATCTGCTGCTTGTTGACCGCCTGGGAGGCCTGGAAGAGCTGGCAGACCGACTCACTGAAGGCCTTCCCTTCCAGTCCAAGCTGGCTTCCACCTGCATAGGCTTTGGCCAAAGCTAGCTATGGGGAGAGACAAGCACAGTGTAAGTCCCGGCCTTTGCTCAGAGGGGCTCAGAGGGCAGCCACACTGCATACCTTGGCCTGCCTGAGCCTCCATAGCAGCATGGCTAAGATCTCTAGGACTTTTTAATGTATATGAGTGTTTTGCCTACGTGAAGGTCTGCACCATGGGTGTGCCTGGTGCCCAGAGAAGGCAGAATAAAGTGTCAGGTTCCTAGAACTAGAGTTACAGATGATTGTAACCACGTGGCTGATGGGAAATTACTGCAGGTTCCCTTGGAGAACAGCCAGGGATCTTAACCACTGAGTATCTCTCCAGCCCCAAGTTTTCTGTTATGAAATGGCACATGGATTCAGCATTTAAGAGACACTGCCCGGCACCCACAGAGACTTCAGATGGTCACTGTCAACAGTTTTTACACTTCATCTGTGTTTTCCTAGGTAAGTGCAGCTTGGTGCATATGTGTATTTATGACACAGTTTATTCTCAACATACTTTTTCCACCTGGCAATATGACTAGTCTCTGTCTGTTGCGTAGTTTGTGGACTCAGCACAGCTGCAGACTCTCATCTTACACGTATCCAAGGGCTCTCTCCGAGGTCCATGTTCACACATCACTCACAACAAACATCTCTTATCTTACATCAGCAGGAACTACCATTACTAAAAATATCCTGGGTTAGAGAGATGGCTCGGTAGGCACGGATTAAATTCCCAGCACCTACATGGTAGCTCAGACTGTCTGTAACTCAAGTTCCGGGAGATTTGATGCCCTCTTCTGGCCTTCTCAGATACCAAGAAGGCACAAGGAATGTACACACAGGCAAACACCCATACACATTAAAAAAAAAAACAAAAAACAAAAAACCAAAAAAAAACCTTAGAGATGTTACTCATTACGGACTCAAAGACAGAGAAAAGATTAGATACAACACATTAATGAGGCAAGTTCCCAATAGCTTATTTAAAACTATAGCTCCAAGGCCAGCCTGGTCTACAGAGTGAGTTCCAGGACAGCCAGGGCTATACAGAGAAATCCTGTCTCGAAAAACCAAACAAAGAAAAAAAAACAAAAAAAACTATAGCTCCAAATTTAGAAACCTCCTGCCTCAGACAAGGACCAAGCCCCTATATTTGGTAAATGTTACCCTTTTTGACCTGCTGTATTTATTTCCTCTTTTCTGATTCTGTTATGAATCACAACGTAAATATTTTTGGAGATAGAGATTTGTCAGAGGGGTGAAGATCCACAGGCTGAAAAACCACTGCTCTAGGCATTTCCTTAATCAGTGATTGATGGGGGAGGCCCAAGCCCATTGTGGGTGGTGCCATCCCTGGGCTGGTGGTTCTGGGTTCTATAAGAAAGCAGGTTGAGGCCGGGCGGTGGTGGCGCACGCCTTTAATCCCAGCACTTGGGAGGCAGAGGCAGGCGGATTTCTGAGTTCGAGGCCAGCCTGGTCTTCCGAGTGAGTTCCAGGACAGCCAGGGCTACACAGAGAAACCCTGTCTCGAAAAAAAAATAAAAAAAAAAAAAAAAAAAAAAAGAAAGCAGGTTGAGTCAGCCATGAGCAAGCCAGTAAGCAGCACCCATCCATGGCCTCTGCATCAGCTCCTGCCTCCAGGTTCCTGCCCTGTTTGAGTTCCTGGCTTCCTTCAGTGATGGACTATGACATGGAAGGGTAGCCAAATGAACCCTTTCCTCTCCAACTTGATTTTAGTCATGGTGTTTCATCCCAGCAATGCTTATCCTAAGAGTGTGTGTGTGTGTGTGTGTGTGTGTGTGTGTATGCATGGCCATGGTGTGCATGTGGCAGTCAGAGGACAACTTTTGGGACAATCATATGACTCTTGGAGATTAAACTCTGGTCATCAGGCTTGGCTGCAAATGATGAGCCATCTTACTATTAACATTTTTTGTAACCCTCTGACAATCTTCTTAGACATGAACACAATATTCTGTGACAAAAGATCGGCCTGGACCACTGTTGATATTAATTTCTTTCCTAGTATTTGAGATGCTGGATATCTACCACCCATGTGGTGGGACAAGAGCAAGTGTTCCCCTTTGTGGCAAGCTGTGAAGATGTCTTAGATTTGTTCTGAAGCAGCCCCTCCCCCTGCTCAGGAGGGGGCCAAGGGCCTGGCCTGTAGGTTCTTTAGAGTCAGCAGGGAAGGGTCTACTGAAAGCCAGTTATAAATTCGAATGAGTAAGGACAGAACTAACAACTAACTAACTAACCAACTAACTAACTAACTAGCTAGCTAACTGGAGCTCCACACACCTGTCTATTCCCAGGCAGCCTGATGTTTGTTCTCACATAAGCATAATCTACAGAACAACATTCCAAAGTCAGGGGTATGTATTTTGACAGCAGCAGTTAGAATTAAGAGGCTATTGGAAACCAGCAATGGTGGAAACAGGCTAAGGTAAACAAGGAATTTCTGGGGTCTTCTCACGCATTCAGAACTACTAAACTCCTTTCAGACACCAGCTCCGGGGGACAGAGATGGCTCAGAGGTTTAGGAAAGCTTTCTGATCTCACAGACGACCCAGGTTCAATCCCCAGCACCCACATCAGGTGGCTCATAACTGACTGTAACTCCAGTTCCAGGAGACCCAATGCCCTTTTCTGGTCTCCGCAGGCACTGCATGCACTTGAGACACATACAGACAAGCACACACATGTAAATAAGTAAAAATTAAAACAAAATAGAAGGACTCAGCTCCAGTCCTGGACCAACTTAGCTTCCCTAAGTTTCCTGTTCAGAGCCTAGGCAGCCCTGCCCCAAGGTTCAGAGGAAAGAACCAGAGCTCGAAGTTACCTGTGCTTCCCAGCAGCCTTTGGCAGCGTAGTCCCTGAGTTTTCGGAAGCTGTGGAGGCATCGTCCAGGGTCAGACATCTGTCAACAAGAGAAAGTTATCCTCACACAGCTGTGTCCTGAAAGGGGCTCAGAACTACCCCAACAGGTTTCTAAATATTTTCTCCCACACTCTCCAACTGCACTGGCCCCCTCAACTTTACCCCCAAATAATGGTAGTCTGTGGGGGGGGGTAGTAATAGTAGCTCACTAAGCAGAAGCATTCAGACTTCTGAGAACCCAGGAGCTGAAAAAGAATCCTTCCCCTTTTAACTATTTTATCCCAGGGCTACATGAAACTGTATCTATGTGGTCTATCCCAGGGCCACATTAAACTGTTACTATGTGGTCTATCCCACACCAGATGAGGCCACCTGAAACTGTTTCTATGTGGTCTATCCCCCACCAGACAAGGCTCCACTTACATCCACCTTTCTGTCACTTTCCCAAAGGAGGTATGAGCTGGCCAAGCATCCCTGATGAGCAGACTCTTCAAACAGGTTACGAGCCTGCTTCCTTTTCTCTTCATCCTGGAGTGAGATCGAGCACAGATGGTTCTTTCTGCCCCACAGCCACCCTCTTCCATTTCTATATCTCCAGGCAGTCAGACAGAGTCCTGACTGAGGAGTTACTGTGTCATGGCAGAAAAGACGCCTCTGAGCAGCCAGTGCTCAGTAACTGACCAATAGGGAGCCTGGCCTCCAGGCTCTGCTCATCTGTATTAATGTGGGGGCAGCTCAGGGCACACAAGGCCTGCGTTCACCCTCTCACTGCTCACCTGCCTCCCCTGTCTTCCGTATCTTTTGCTGCCTTCACCGGAAGCTACTGCCTACCCTAAACCTGCAAAAGGGATCCCCAGATCACAGAGCCTGTTACAAACCTCAAGAGAGGCGGGAATTCTGCAAGGCCCACCACCAACACCTGCTCAGACCCCAGCACATCTACTCAGAGTTGTCCTGTTTACCTCCCTCCAAGGCAGAGTGGAGCCAGGAGCTCTCTGCTAAGGACCACCTGAGGGCAGGGCTTGGCTTTGTATTCACCTCAGGCAAAACTCACCTCAAAAAGATTGAGCACCCTTCCCAAGCAGTGTAGTATAGAAGCTTTATGACTCTTTAAAAAAAAAAAGAAAAAAGACAAGCATGATTCTCGGCAGATGGTTCTCCCCAGCCCTGTCCAGATTGCTACCCCACCACTCCCTGATTTCAGTTTCCAGCTATGGCTGTTTTAATTAGCCTAAATCTTTGGTTTCCAGCCACCAACATGTTCACCAAGATATCTGTCCTCATTTCAGGGCCTAAGACCTTCTACCAAATCAGTTCAAGATGCTTCTTCTACAACTACACTGTCTGTCTCTCTCTCCCCCACCCTCTCTTCCCCGCTCCCCTCCCTCTCTTCACAAGTACTATAGATAGAAGCCCGGGCTTCCAGCTTGCTAGGTGAAAGCTCTATGTTGAGCTAAAGCCCAGCCACATACTTAATCTTCCTTTGCACCTTCTTGACCTTTCACGGCCCACAGAACGTACTTCAGGTTGTCCCACCTTCTGGAACGCTAACTGGACTTACAGATGCTATTTATGTCTTCCAGGCCTTGCCAGGACTTACACTTTGTAACTGACACTCTGCCCTGAGGCTATCATGGACCACGGCCTTGCAGCAGCTTCCTGACACTGACCACGGTGGGCGGATAAAGAGCCAGATGAAGGGCTCAGAACCTGTGTTCAATCTCTCGGCCATACTGAAGAAGCGAGAGGCCTTCAGGCCGTTCACTTCTGCGCAGGCCTCATCCGACACAGACACTGTGGGAGAAACAGGATAAACCCATGATGTCTCTGCAAGAGCAGAGATCTCCAGTCTTTTTGTCAAAGTCTAAAAGCACAAGCCTGCCACAGGGCAAAGCTTTGGACAGAAGAGCTCTGCGGGATGGGGCTTCAATTCTCCCTAGTTTATTCAGATAACCTAAGACACAGGCCCCCTGCTGGAGTCCTTCAGGAAGCCTGGATTCTGACCCTCAGGGGATGGTGGCTCCCACATCCTCTACCTTCCTCCTTGAGGGAAACAGAGAAGAAAGGGTTCTCTGAAGGATGAGACTATTCTAAACAAGAACGGCAATGGTTGTACAACCCTAGGAAAATACAGAAAGCAGCAACCACTTTGCATAGTGTAGGTACGCATCGTGTACGTACAGAATGATGTCTGGGTATGGTCCACTGACGGGAGTAGGGTAGGGGGTTCAGTTCTCCTCAGTCTGGAAGAGCCCACCAACAACAAGGACTATACAAGACACCAGATCTTTAAGATGCAGGAAACTGGTATTCTGTTCTCTAAATGTTATACATCTTGAAGACCAGGACGGCACAGCTGAAGCTCATTCCTCAGGTGTCTTTCAGGAGCAGCTGGCCTTGGGACAAAAGGACTCAGGGTCTAGGCAAACTGTTTGCCACATGGAACCATGGCTGTCTGCGGGCTCCATCCCTGAAGAATGAGGTATGCTGATATCCTTCCAAACTTCACAGCATGGCCAAGGGAAGAAGCTATCTATGGTCACGCAGAAGCCCTGGTGCTACCTGACAGACGGTAGGGAGGGCTTAGGCCGAGCAGCCCCCCTTCAAGGGCTCTGCTCAGTCATCCTTTGCTGATCTGAATTAGGAAAGGGGGTGACTTTCTTAGAACCATGTCCAAGTGCCAAGGGTAGACATAGGGCCAACCCGCAGCAATATCTAAGTTGCTAAGTCTCAGAAGGGCTGAAAGCTTCTTTCTGCTTAACTCAAATACCAATATACGCAGGGCCCGGGACTTACAGCCTTCATTGTAGAGGTAGGCAATCCCCAACTTCACGGCAGCTTCAAAATTTCCCTTTTCGGCAGCCCTGGGCAGTAAGAGCATAAACCACATGATTTTAGGTAATAAAGGTCGTTTAATAATCATGCCTCTTGATGCTGAAAGGCTTATTTCCTGGTTAATTTTTTCATGAAGTGTAATCAAATACTGTTTATTGGTTGCACACTACAATGTGGATGAACCCTGACAACCAACCCTCTGCCAATCATAAAAGGTCAAGAATTTTATGATCTGTTTACATGAGGAAGCTACAATTGCCAATTCCAGACACAGAAGACAGTTAACGGATTGCCAAGGGTTTGTGGGTTTCAGGGAGAAAGGGCCATGCAGGCTAAACAGTAAAGGATTTCTTTTTAGGATGATAAAAATGATATAAGTTGGATAGTGCTAACTTTGTACAACTGTGAATACACTAAAAACCAACAAGTTCCACCCGAAGCTCCAGTTCCAGGGATCCAGCACCCTCTCCTGGCATCTGTGGGCACTGCACATCAGTAGTGCAAATACACACAAGCACTCACACACGCGTGCATAAAAATAAATCTTAAAAAGAAAAAGACATAAATTTTATCCGGAAGCAATGCAAGCATGGCATCCTGTAACTGGAGGTATCTACCGGGACTTCACTAGCAGCTCAAGCAGATAAGGGTCTGAGAAGTAAGTGCTCAGGAGGGAAAGCCTGTCCTGAGTTAGTTTCTCAGTTGTGCTAAGAAAAGGCTCAAGCTCAGACCCCATCCCATGACATGCCCTGGGCCACTAGCAGTCTCAGACAGTGGGCCTGGTCACTGACAATCGGGTCACAGAGTTTAGGTTTACCCCATCTGGTCTTCTCTTTCAGCACGACTACAGTAGGGCAGTGAGTCATCCTGTGACCAATATATCAGAACTGAAATTACTCAGTCTTGAACAGAAGGAAAAGAAAGCTGAATAAAACTTCCATGAGGAGGTGACTCAACATCTGAGTCAATTGGGAATAGTCACAGGGCAAGTGGGACCCTCTGGAAGTAGGGCAGAGACAGACAACGGCGTGGCTGGAAGCAGGGGCTCTCAATGGGTGAGCTCCCCAGTTTTGGGTCTCTTTCAGGGGATGAGAGCAACAGGAAAACAGGTCCTGGGACACCAATCCCACCAAAGGCTGAAAGGGATCACCGCTCTCAGAACATAGGCATACCTTTCAAAGAGCTTCAGGTTCTGTGGAGAAGGCCACAGCTCTTGGAAGCTGGCAGATGCCCATACACTGGCGTGGTTGTCCACCAGGTACTTGAGGTGGGAGTGGACCTGCAGAACAATGAAAAGCCATGTATGAATTACTGAGTGACTTCCCAAACCCTTGCTCCCGGAGGCTCTTGAAGATGGGACAAAGACATTCCAGTCTCCTCATGGTAAAGAACTCAGTTTCCATGTATGAAAATAAGACTGCTTTGCATAGAGATAAGAAGCCAGAAAAGAGGTTTTCTGAAGTTCTGAGGGGGGGAGGAATGACAAGCACCTATGCTAAGAAAGAGATGAACCTGGCATGGTAGTATATACCTTTAACCTCAGCACTCACTGGAGGCAAGGGCAGGCTGCCCAGCCAGGGCAGAAGGTAGTGTCTCTGTCAAAGGGTGGAAGAGCAGGAAGGGAGACACCTCTGCAAAGAACTGGGGAAATGGGCTGGTGCCAAGCAGGACAGAAATCTATCTTGTGCTGGGCAGTGGTGGTGCCCTGCAGGAGTGGTGGTCTATACTGCAAGTTCACATCAGCAAAGCCTAAAGAGACATCTCAAGAATAAAGGGTGAGAGCTGGAGAGATGGCTGAGCAGTTAAGAGCGCTGACTGCTCTTCCAGAGGTCCTGAGTTCAATTCCCAGCAATCAAATGGTGGCTCACAACCATCTGTAATGGGGCCAAACACGGCCTCAAATTCCTGTATAGAAAACATTTGCTGGGCAGTTGTGGTCCCAGCACTTGGGAGGCAGAGGCAAGCAGATCTCTGCAAGTTCAAGGCCAGCCTGGTCTACAGCATGAGTTCCAGGACAGCCAGGACTGCACAGAGAAACCCTGTCTCAAGAAACAAACAAAGGTTCTTGGTTTGTAGTATTCTGGGTTTTGTTGTTTTGTTTGAAGAAGGCATCAGTATGTTGCCTACAGCACATCTGAAACTGTGGGTCACAGAACTGAACAGAGCTGCAGACAACTTGGCAACTGTGAAAGACTTCTGACACACTGTGTCCCACTTCACACAAACGTGCACTGTGCATAAACAACACATAAATAAATGTGCATCACACACACACCGTTGCTAACACAGCTCCAGTACACGCTGCCTAAGACACCTTGGCAGACAACTGCACACACAGAGTTTTCTGCTCGAACAGAAACAGTCACTGGATTCTGATACACACAGACTTTCCATGTTTCCCTAATACCTCTCCTTGGCATGTGAGCATAAACTGGTATCTCTTTGTAGTCTTAGAAAATTTGACTTTTAAAGTTGTTCTTGAACTTGCTGACTCCAGTTTCACAAGAGAAAAAAAAAAAATGGGTACATGAAGGGACAGGAGAGACGGCTCAGTGTTCAGGGCCCTGGCTGCTCTTGCAGAGGACCTGGGCTCAGTTCTCCAGCACCTACATGATGGTTCAGAATCATCCCTAACTCAGGTCCCAGAGGCCCCGTTGATACCACCCGAGGCAGGAGGCACACGTGTGTTACACACATGGTTATGTAGGCAAAACACAGATACATAAAATAAAATTATGTGTATTTTAAGTGCTGTTTAAATTGCTAAATAAACTTTGTCTTGTTTAAACAAAATTTCATTTTGTCAAAAAACAAAATAAAACAGACAACCTCAAAATGGCCCTAAACAATTTTTTTTGAAGACTGGTCTCTCTCTGTAGTTGAGCCTCTTCTAGAACTTGCTTTATAGACCAGGCTAGCCTCAAACCACCAAAGATCCTCATGCTTGTCTCCATGTGCTGGGATTAAAGGCCTGCACCACCGCACCCATATGGTACATGTGTGTATGAGTTATACATGGACATACATACACCACAGCATGTGAGTGGAAGTTGGGAACAATTTTCCTGGGTTGGTTCTTTCTTTTGCTGGGATGACAGGCATGAATCTCCATGTCCAGTTCATGACCTTTTTCCTTTTTAAGATCTTATCTGAGTATTTTGCCTGCTCGAGTGTGTGTGAAACATATGCGTGCTTGGAGCCTGAAGAGACCAGAAGAGCTAATCAGATCCCCAGAACTGGAGTTACAGCTGGTGTGAGCCTCCTTGTGGGTACTGGGAGTTGAACCCTTGTCCTCAGGGCCCTGGCTGCTCTTGCAGAGGACCTGGGCTCAGTTCTACAGCACCTACATGGGATTAAAGTGGTCAGTGCTTGTAACTGCTGAGCATCTCCCCAGACCCACTGTCTTCTCAAGATGCAAATTTTATGGCCATAAAAGGGTCTTTTTCCCTTGAAGTAAACATTGCAGTGAATTGTGTCAAATCTCAGTATGTAGTCCCTATGACTGAAACATCTTCAGACACTTCAATTCCCAGCACCCCACAAGACAACTGATACTCTTCCATAACTCCCAGACAGCCTCTTCTGGCTTCGGTTGGTACTGCACACACATGGTGTACACAGACATGCAGGCAAAACACTCATATACATAACATTTTTTAAAATCTTAAAAAAATATATAGCCACCCAATTTTTTTTTTTTTTTTTTGGTTTTTCGAGACAGGGTTTCTCTGTGTAGCCCTGGCTGTCCTAGAACTCACTCTGTAGACCAGGCTGGCCTCGAACTCAGAAATCCGCCTGCCTCTGCCTCCCAAGTGCTGGGATTAAAGGCGTGCGCCACCACCGCTTGGCCACCCAATTCTTTTCCATCAAAGTTTAATGCTGACATTTAAGAACATGAGATCTGGGGCTGGAGAGATGACTCAGCGGTCAAGAGCTCTTCCAGAGGACCTGAGTTCAATTCCCAGCACTCACACGGCAGCTCCTAATTGCATGTAACTCCAGTTTCAGGGGATCTAATACCTTCACACATTCATACATTCAGGAAAAAAAAATGCAAACAAAATTTATAAATACACACACACACAAGATCTTTAAAGCATAGCCAACAACACTAGGATTGGTATTGTTTCCATGCAGTAACTTACAGCTCGGACAGCAAGGATGTCCCCAACAGAGAGCCATTTCAGGATATGAAGGAGTACATCTTCTGGGAGACTCAAGATGGTTAAGTTTCTGGGTCTTCTTTTGATTCTTCGCTTTGTAGGATAACAGAAACACTTGGCACACCTACAATGGATCACTTAAGGGAAAAGACATTCACAAGCCTTGGTGAGGTATAAAGTTGTATCTAAAGATGATTTAACAGTTACTGTCCTCTATTCACACAAAAGACTAGTCTTAAGATTAAATAAAGTGTACCATATGAATTACTTAAGATACCACCATTCCTTTGATAGCCAATAAATATTCGGGAGAATATCGGATAACATAACTTGAATGTTGGAAACTTTCTGGGAGAAAAGCAGCCAACACTGACAAACATTCATGATGTTTTCCTTGAACTGTACTCAAGAAAGTACTTTCGGGGCCAAGAAATTGCTCAGCAGTGAAGGCTAGCTCACAACCAGTCAGTAAGATCCCTTGGAGTTTTTGCTGTATATTTTTGCTAAAGATAAGTCCTCTGTAGCCCAGGCTGGCCTCAAATTCACTAATATAGCTGAGGCTGCCCTTGAACTCCTGATCCTCCCTACCTCTCCCTGCCAAGTAGTGAATTTTAAGTGCTAGTCACCATGGCTAGCTTACATTTGCACATGTGACTAAAAGCATACTGTTGAGAATGGACCAAGGGACTTCCATAGCATAGACTGGGAATTCAAATTAGCAAACAGTTCCATAGAATATGGAGGCCAGGTCCATCCCAGTGCAGGTCTCAGCTTGGCAGATGGTCAGAGCACCCAGTCCCCAAACCCAGTGGTCTGCTACACTCAGCTTACAGTGAAAATCACAACCTGAGATCTAGACAGATGGTTCTCAACCTTCCTAACGTCACAGACCCTTTAATACGGTTAGTTCCTCATGCTGTGGTGACCCCCAAACATAAAATAACTTCATTGCTACTTCATAAGTTTAATTTTGCTACGTTTATGAATCCTAATGACATGCAGGATAGCTGATATGCAACTCCTGTGAAAAGGTCCTTTGACACCCCCCCTCCAAAGGGGTTGTGCCCCACATGTTGAGAACTGAGGCACACATCAACTGGGCCCAGTGACGCTCTTCAGATGAGGTCTCTTCCCTTTCCCACAGTGGGTTGTTCCAATATTTACTTCAGAAATCCATTCTTCATTCAATGCCGATGGCTTTTTCCTTTATTTCACAAAAGGCCCCCATGCCAGCCCTTTCATGATCCCTAAGGTTCTGTCTCCCTGTCTATAACTGCGCCTATCTTTCTACCTAATTTTCCTCCTCACACTGAGGCCAAGTGGCTGTTCCCCGAGCCTTGGTAAAGCTTTTCATCAGGAGGTCTCTAAGAGACTGTCCATTCCCAAACTCTTCACCTGGGTTTTATTGGAAACCAAATGTACAGCAAAAGCCAAATGCATACCCAGAGAGCTCTAATTCCCAAACATTCTAAGAATATTATCATAACAGTTTCTTGTTATGTGCTCTAGAGCAGACAGACAACTGGAAGTGTTTAACCACTCTACAAGTGAAATCGCACCCTAAGGTCGTGAGACGTTTTCACAGGGCAGATCCTGTTGCCTCAGCCGACACTCAGGAGATCAAACCGCCCGTGAGAGTCCGGACAGGACCTGAGATCGATCTATATCATGAGGATCGCCCAAGACTTCACAGAGAAGTGAAATCGTAGTTTGCTAGGCAGAGAACCTAAATGGCCCGGGGTAACAGGAGAGGCACAGGCGCCGGGCGGGCATTTAAACCGCGCGGGCGAGCTCGCAGTCGGGGATCCATGCCTACCCCGTGCTTCGGAGGATGCGACGCGCCCTCCCCGGTCATAGGGGCCCGAGTCCATCCTCCTCCGGCCTCCGTTCCGTATGACCCATCGTCTGCCCGGCTCCCGCCAGCACTCACCACCGCCGCTCCCCATCGCAGAGCTCTCACCACTGCCGCCTTAGACCGCTCTCAAGCGCGCCCGCGCCTGGGGCAAGTGCACGGAGCGCCTCACGCAGGCGCGGACCCCACCCCCGCTCCGTTTTCAAACGCGCCGGGAGCTCCTACTGGTAGGACCACAGAGTTACGCCCCCCAGATCACCAGCCTCTCCTGCCCTGCAGGTTCTGGGCACTTGTGATTGGCTACACCAGGACGCGAATTCAAACGCTGGCTATCTATTGGCTTATCGCTCGCGGTTGACCCGCCTCCTCTGCTGGGCGGGGGACGGAGGAGCTCAGCTGGCGCCGGCGGGCTATCCCAAAAAGCCCGCCCGGAGGTAGAGAGGACGTGTCCTCTCCCTCCAAGACTTGTCCTCCTCTCGGGGAATTGGTCGTGGGTACTACCTGTCCCTCCCACGCGAGCTTCCGGCCAAGGAGACTGCGTTTGGAGACCCCCAACTCACACCGATGTGGAGATTGCTGAAGCTGGGTTCCGATGCGGGGCAGCCACAGTCACAGTCTGCTGAGCGATCTACTCACTTGTGTACACGTCCGGTCTTCTCATGAGATGATCTGCCAAGAGAACACTTGTATTCTCTTGAGGGTAGAGAGCAAGGAATAGGCCCAGGCTTATCCCCACAGCTTGGATCAGACTTCATCCCCTCCCCGAAGCCTGCATGCTCACTGAATCTGACCTGTGCTGGAAGCTGGGTATCAAGGCCTCTCGTAGGTCTGAGACAGTTAATAGGGATTAGCTGTTCACAGCACAGAACATTAGAGAACCCTAGAATAAGACTTGGGATTTGGTCCCCATTGTGCTGATCCCCATGCGGGACTCTCACACTGTCCCTTTTCCCGGAGACTGTACTGTTTCCCATCTTGTTACTTTCTTTATCTTCCTATTTTGAACTTTGTTACTTTGTTACCTGTCCCGGGGCAGAAGCGCAGTTTTCAGTGTTTGCTTTTGGTAGCCCCTGGAAGGGATAAAAAACTAAATCCAACAATGAGCAAAACCGCTGTCAATCATACCAATTCAGAATCCATACCAATATCCCTGGTCCCCTGGTTAATCGAAGTTACAAAGTATCTTTTTTACAAAGCTGTCTATTTTTAGCTCTAACTTGTTTTGTATCCTACTCAGTTTCTCTTATTCTGAGGCAGGTTTTGTTGGTTTTGATAAAGGGACTCCCGATGTCCTAGTTAGCTTCAGCTAACAACCTGACACGGCTTAGAATCGTCTGGGGGAGACTCAGTTGTGTGATTGCCCAGATCAGACTGGTTTGTGGCCATGTCTGTGAGGGATTGGTGTGATTGGTGGCTGAGAGGTTTCAGCCTCTCACTACCTCTGGTGGCGCCATCTCTAGGTAGATGTTCCTAGGCTATATAAGAAAGCTAGCTGAGCCTGAGCCAGGAAACACTGGTCTATGATCCTGCCTTGAGTTCCTGCTCTGACTTCCTTCAATGATGGGTTATGACCTGGAAATGTAAGACAAATAAATTGCTTTTGGTCATGTTGTTACAACAACAGAAAGCAAACTAGAAGCCCCCACATAGCCCAGGCTGACCTATAACTTGAGGTTTGTCCTGCTTCTGCTTCCTGACTGTTGGGTTACAGTTGGGTACCACTTCACTTGGCCAAAATATTTGTATGTTTTAGGAACCAGGTGTCCTCCTGGCTGTCGATCTGATCATGCTGTAGCCTTGCCTCCTGGTTCTACTGTTGAACCCCTACGGCTGAGAGCTACTCCTCCAGAGCGTGAGGTATACGCATTCCCCATTGGGCTTCAAGGAATGAGAGACCTCAGGAAACTCAGCTCTTGGGAGTTGAAGATTGATGGGACCGTGTATTTCCAGTGCTCTCCTCTGGACTCCGAGTTAGGCACAGACCACACCCAAACATCAATTTCCAGGCACATACCAGGTTCAATGAGCTCTGTTAATAAGCAAGGTAAAGAGAAGGCGGCTGAGTCTGAATGGGGCAGAAACTGTGGCAAATGGCTTTGCAGGTGCTAATTTTATGAGGAAAAAGGAGGAGGTCTGTGTTAGAATGAGCAGGACGTGTCGGTAAGTTCTGATTGGGTATTTTAACTAGGTTAGTCAAAATAATGAATTTTGATTGTTGGATCTTGTGTTTTGATAGTTGGGCCTTGGTTATCAGTGTCAGAAATGAGACAGGCAGAGCCAAGTAGTCAAAGAAGCCAATGGACCTTGGAGGATAGCGTTAGGAATGTGATAGAACAGTTTAGCAAGGGAGAGGGGAGGGGGAAAGGCAAACCCTGTGAATGCCATGTTTGCCACACTTGAGCCTGCTAGAGACCCTTCAGGGGTCACTCTTGGCTTAACGAAATATTAGTTGACAGCCTGCGGGTGGATGAGGAAAGCCTCAAGGATAGTATAAGAAGGCAAAGTATTCAAGTTAAGTATTATGGGATCCCGAGGGATCTCACTGATTAGAAAGAGGCTGCAGGGAGCATGAGATGTGGCAAAGCCCAGGTAGGAAGGTTTCCAGTATGAAGGATCGAGGAATACTATGAATTCTCCAGAGCAGTCACCTGAAAAAAAGATCAATAAACCATCTAGTATGATTGCTCAGAAGACTCTCTACAGCATTTGAGTATTTGAGAATAGTATTTGAAGGTTCTACAGATGTCTGTCGAGTTTGTTTTATTTCTCTATTTTTCTATCAAGATAATCTTTCAATTGAGGTGAGAAGAGCCTGGAATCTATCCACTGCTATCCTCCTGGGGTTAATCTGTGACTTTATATTTAGTAGTATTTATTTTATGAAATTGGGTGCACCTGCGTTTAGGGCATATGTTTAGAACTGTAGAGGTTTTTGTTGTTGTTGGTGGTGGTGGTGGTGGTGGTGGTCGTGAGTTTTTTTTTCCCTATTCAGTAGGAAGTGATGTTTATTATTTTTTTCCCACTAGTTTTGGTTTGAAATCTATTTTGTCAGGTGTTAGACCAGCCATGCTGGTTTCCTTGGTCCATTTGTTCAGACTGTCCGTTCCAATCCTTTCACCGTAAGGTACTGTCTGTCTTCTATGGTGAGATGGGTTTCTCAGGCAACAAACAAATGGCTCCTATCTTTAAATCCAGTATACTGGTCTGTGTAGATACTTAGTTGTTATTAAATGTGTGTGTTGATTTCTGCCTTTTTTCTGATTTTGTAGTGTGTGATTACTATTCCTCTTGCTTTTTTTTGTTTGTTTGTTTTTGTTTTTTGTTTTTTGTTTTGTTTTGTTTTTTTTGAGACAGGGTTTCTCTGTATATCCCTGGCTGTCCTGGAACTCACTCTGTAGACCAGCCTGGCCTCGAACTCAGAAATCCGCCTGTCTCTGCCTCCCAAGTGCTGGGATTAAAGGCGTGTGCCACCACCACCCGGCTTCTTGCTTTTAATTACCACTCTACCATGGTTTATTTCTTTAAAAATATTTTATTTTCATGTGTATGAGTGCTTTGCCTACATGTATGTATATGCACCACATGTATGCCTGGTGTCCTCAGGGGTCAGAAGAGAGGCGCATCCCTAGAACTGGATATGGATATTGTGGGCTACCAGGTCCTCTGCTAAGTCATCTCTCCAGCCCTAGTTCATTCTTTCTTGCAGCCTTCTGGAGGAATTTTTTTTTCCTCTGAAGCCTAAGAATTCCTTCAACTATCTTCGTAGTGGCTTAGTGATCAGAAAGTCCTTTAGCCCATTTTTTTTTTAAATAAATTTTTTGTTTCTTCTTCGGTTATAAGTTGCTTTGCTGAGTATACCTGGGTGCAGTCTGGATTATCTGTTCTTGTCTTTTAGAACTTGAAGTACATCCTTCCAGGCCTTCTTGTGCTATCAAGTTTTAGTTGTAAGTTGTTGCCAGCAGCTTTGACTGAGAAAGAAAAACATTCTGTGTCTAAGGGCACTGTGACCCCTGACACACCGAGGATCTGCACCACAGGAGTTTCTGCCTCAGGGATCTGGGAATGTGCTATTTCTTAAAATGTGGACTTGCAAGTTCTCATGTTTTTCTACCCATACTTCCTTGTTTTTTGCCTTTGTTCTCCTGGTGATCTTTTAAACATTCTATTCCTTATAAACATGGTTTGATAATTTTTTTTTACATTATGATTATCTTTGCATGTAGTTATTCATAATAAAAGCTCCTAATTAAAAAAAAATCTAAGAGGTGCTCTAATGCTTAGGGACTCTTGCATGTTTTGTGTCCCTAGCCGCCGCTGTTGAAGATTCACATTGCAGACTCTGAGTCTTATTCTGTGGGCTGAACTCCAGTATCTCTGGCAGTAAGTCTGCTGATAACTATGAAAACAACGATGGGCTTACCTTTATATGTATTTTGGTATTTCTATCTTGCTGCTTTCAAGATACTTGCTTTATACTGTATATTTGTTTTAATATGGTGATGGCAGGGAAGTTCTTGTTTTGGGAGGGGGTCTTGTTGGTTTGAGGTCCTAAATGCCTTCTGTATCTGGCTTGGAGTCTCTCTCTCTCTTTCTGAGAAATTTCATTGTGATTCTTTTGAAATGTTTTCGGTGCCCCGAAAATGAGATTCTTCTCCTTCATTTGTTTATTTGGCTTTTCCCCATAGTGTCTTGTGTACCTTGGAATTCGACTTATACCTTATTATTTTATCTTTGATCTTATTGGATCTGATCTTGTTTTCAAGTTCAGATATTTGGCCCTCTCTTTGACCTGTTCTATTGTGAGATTTTCCACAGAGCTTCTCTGGGGGCTTATGTATTGTCTTGGTTAGCTTTCTACTGCCATGATAAAGATTATATATAATGACCCAAAGCAGCATGTGATGGAAGGGGCTTGTCTCCTGGGCTTACAGGTTACAGGTCATCATGAAGGGAACCCAGGGAAGAAGCTCAAGCCAGGAACCTGAACACAGGAACTAAACTGCAACCATGTGGAAGCTGCTTCTCGCCTTGCTCTCCATAGCTTGCTCACCCCGCTTTCTTACACAATCCAGGGTCACCTGACCCTGGTGGAGTGCCTTGACTCCCGTCGAGCTGGGCCCTCCCACGACAATCGTTAA